CCCCACTCCTCTCCTTGAAAAGCAAAAGAAAAACTCCTTCAATTCCCCCCCACATTCCCCACTCCCACCCCAAGTATACTCCACTCTGCAACCCTCATTCCAGACTCTTATGATAATCATAATGCCCTAAAATATATTACTTTTAAGCTATTCTCTCCCTCATCAGCTTCAATGCAGTAAACATATTTTATCCAGTTTTTCTCAGTCTTAACCCCACCCCAACGACAGCCTCATTCTACAGCAGTGGCACCATATAATATTTGTCGCTTTGTGACTGAGATATTTCACTCAGCATAATGTCCTCCAGAGTCACCCATTTTGTATAATATTGCATGAGTTCCTTGTTTATCAAAGCAACGGTAGTATTCCATTGTGTGAATATACCACAGCTTCTCTATCCATTCGTTTGTTGATGGGCACTTAGGTTGTTTCCAATGCCTTGCTATTGTGAACAAAGCTGTAATAAACACGGATGTGCATATATCTGCTTGTTGTCTGATTCAACTCTTATTCAGATTATTTGTATCTTCTCCTTCTTTTCCTTTGTGAGTTTTGCTAATGGTTGTCGATTTTATTGACCTTTTCAAAGAACCAACTCCTAGTTTTGTTGATAGTTTCAATTGCTTTTCGATTTTCTATTTCATTTTTCTGTGCTCTAATTTTTATAATTTCAGGCTTTTTAGAAGGTGTTGGGTTTTCTTGCTGTTATTTTTCAATTTGTTGGAGATGTAGGGTTAGAGTGTCAATAGTCAATTTTTCCTGCTTTTTGATGTGTTTGTAAAAGCATCAATTCTTTAATCACCTTTATAAATGTTCTAGCTCTCTAATTCATAGCAAGTGATTAAAAAGACCATGGCCTGAATCAAGCACATCCTAGTCCTCAAACTGACATCATTGCTTCTTAGTAACTTAGAGAGAGGTCTCTGACAGCAGATTTGTTCAATTCAATACATCTCCTGGTTGCCTGACTGCAGGTAACAAAGGTATTGATTGTGGATTCAAGGGAGGGGGCAATTGTCGCCAATTTCAATATTTTCTCCGTTGGTCCAATAGTGGGGATTTTGGTTTTCTTG